TGAGGCAACTAGCGAAGTTGAATGATGTGCTTGGCAGTCTAAGTTATTATCTGGCTTTCTATCTTTTTTGTCGGGAAGATATGCTAACTATATAGGCATCATAGAAAACTAAAAATCGAATGCGGATTCTATTAGCCTGGGATGGCTATGTCTGATAACTATGTGTTTCAACAATAAAGTGTTTGTTTGTATTACACTGTTTACCTATTCTTGGCACTGTTGTGGCCTGCGAACAATGCAAAAATAATTTTGTGGCCAGCGAAGCCGACAACCTTGGACCACCCTGCCCTATATACTCTACTGAGTTAAATTTGACTTATGATGAACTTAACGCGTAATTCACCTCAGATCTGATTCACCAAAAATTCTCTATTTCACCCCTTTGTCAATTAGAAAGATAAGGTTATGGGTGCTCAAGTGATACAAAGGTTTGATACATTATACATCTGGAATTTAAAGGTGTGATTCGTATTAAGAAAGCTCCATGGTCATAAATGTTATGGAATGGTAGGTATGTTTTTTCACTCTTCAGTTATTTCCTACGGAAGACTACGAACATAGCAGATGTCCGCCCATTTCCAACCTCACAATTACACTAGCTGATAGTAGATCCCCAGAGATATTTCTACGTCTGCGTTCGTTTGAAATTGTATCGGAGGTGTTACTTGTCTCTAGAAGAACTTTACATATGTCAAATATGGTGACTGTACATTTGAACCCATGTGTATATCCGCGGGTTCAATCTATGTGCAGGTGCTAAAACCCATGGGTTAGGGTTAGTATGGGTTCAAATATCCGTAGAACAAAAAAAATTCAATAGGTGCAATAGTATGCAGGTTCAATTGTCATGGGTTCAAATGTACACGGGTTCAAATGTATTGGAACCGTCAAATATAATATAATAGTCTGACGTCTGTATTACATCCTGATTAAGGGAAGGCGTTGGGAAACGGTTGGCGCGATCAAATGATTCATTGATACATTATGTATCGAGAAAGTTTTGTGGTGAGTTAACCTGGTTAACGTAGGTGTATGAAGTGGAATCTGTGGTTGAATTGATTTTTCAAGCAAAATTATTTTCACAAATATCAAAAGATGATAGATGACATTCTTTTGAAATTTGGAATTAATTCTGCTCTGAATGTTCTCCTCATAGTGTCCGATTGCTAGTCTTCCTCATCTTTGTGCATCAACTACAGATCCAGTTTCCATAAATTTACAATGAATTGCATAAATTGTTCGTTGTGTAGGAGCCAAATTTTCTGTTAAAGAGGCGCTGAGTTTGCCCTAATAATTTATTTGCTTCTTGCCTAAAAGCAATTTTGCTCCTCATTTCTTGGGTTAATCTCCTTATCATTCTATGGGTTGATGAAAAATGCAAACAATACCTAAATTTTACTACTTATCCGTACTATGTTTTCAGAAGAAATGACTTCATGATGTGTACCTAAAAAGCAAATCAAAATCAAAAGTGTATACCTACTTTTGAGACACCCTGTATACATAACCTAACTCAGAACAGTTGGACACATTTTTTTCTGTCAAATGCTCCATTTTTGTGACAAGTCAATGATTTGCGTTGATTTTTGCGAATAAAACTTAATATATTCCACAATTCTACTGTAATATGAAATATTGGGAATCGCAATTTTTTAAATATTAATCTATTCAGATAAAGAATTTTATCAAACAACACGATCTTGTGAACTATAATCGCCGGTAATAGATACCTTTTGATCAAAACTGCGCATTGCTTTGTAGATAAAATTATCCCATTTAGATCAAATAATAAATCATAAATTTGAAATTTTGATATTCATTGAGTATGTATAGTCGTTTTTGTTTGTTTTGAAAAAAGTTGACTATTTGGTAATTCACCATAACCCGACTAAAAAGTCATTAGGGACCATAAGATCGTCGCGTTCTGTGTATTGTTTACATCATAATATACCAAGAAAACCAAAATGAGTAATAAATAGCTTGCGAATTCAATTTGTATATTTATTCTGACGCCATAATTACGTTTATTTTATCATAAACGCTTCAAAATACCTGGTACATAGCTTGCAAAATTTGTTAAACGTGGTATCTGAAAAAAGCTTTTCTAGAAGTTTTATGACTGTGTGAAAAAAACTTTTTTGCGACTTTACCAGGAAACATAGTGCGTTTGATATGCTTCATTTTTTAAGACGTGTATTCACGTCTTTCACCTAGATTAAGGCCCTGTACAAATAATCTGTAAGTAGCTGCAATGTCTGAAGGTTTTTCCACAGTTATCAAAGTTTAAGACTTGAACATAGCTCTGTATGTGCCAAGTGAGGCTTTGCATTTTCATTTGCGAAATTATTAGTTTGCAGTGTTCAATGCGTGGACGAAATAAAATATCTGAATCTAAACAGGATCAGAAACCAATGTGACTCAATCGTAGTTTTTAAGGCCACAATGAGCTCCAGTTTCTCATAGTTGAAATGTGTTTAATAATATATTCCTACAAGCTCTGTCCAAGGAGCCTGGTTTTGAACGATTGATCGTTCTCTCAGTCAGCCTTTTTTTTTCTAACTGGCCTGTTTGAACAGATTGTTTATTTCATTCAGATTTTTCACTTCTTCACTCTTATGTTTATACTCCTACAAGGCTCCGCGCTAGCAGCCTGGTTTTAAACGATCGATCGTTCTCTTAGTCGGTCTAGTTTCTAATACCGGAATGAATTGTTTATGACAAAATATCTTGAGTTTGCACCCAAGATCTATAAAGATTGATATTGATATACTGGGACATTGACCTAGTCCTTAGGAAGTGGTTCCTAGCTATTTTTGATTGCATCCCTTAGCATATTTTGAAAGTCTTCATTCCTCACAAGAGCAAGCACTGAATACACAAATTTTCTAAACGATATACTACAGTCGCTATGAATAAAACTTTGTTTTACTTTGTTGTTTAGTCTTTAATGTATGTATCACTGATGAGTGGTCATACGTGCAATCGGCACCCTGACATTTGTATAATAAGAATAGTTAAATTCCCCCCCAATTTAGAAATACCGCCACCGCCATAGGTAACAAATTTGACTCGGTTTAATGACAATAGACTGTCTAGGTTTCGAAGCCAAGATTACAATCGTAAGTTCCTCATCAATGTATCAAGACAACGCTTCCAAATTCAGAAGTATCATCGCCCATATGCTACCCAGTTTATTAGTGTTTTCCTTCAATTCCATTACATGTAAACACTTTAATCAACTCGCTCATGCCCTTTTTGTCATCGCGCATGGTACCACATGTATTCATTCATTGTTAAGTTGTCTCAGGAGTCTGTTGTTGATTACGTTCAATATTATTTATCACAAAGGACTTGTGTGTTGTATTCGGGGTGAAAAATTTATAAGTGTTCCTCTTAGATTTCTCTACATGTAAACACCTCAATCAACTGGCTCGCGCGTGTAGACTTCTTTCGTCGCGCTCTTCAAGCGCTTTGTATCTATCACGTGTATTCATCCTTGTTAAGTTGTCTCAGAAATCTGTTGTTATTTACGTTCAATATTATTTGTCACAAAGGACTTTGTGTGTTGTATTCGGGATGATGGACTTTATTAGAATCTAATAATATTTGTCCTTACTGGCGCAGAATTGAACGCCGCCTTGATTTACAGTAAATCGGACGGAACCATACAAATAACCGTGAAATTAAATCCGTCATGAAACGAAAGATAAAATCAAGCCGTGATAAGGATTTGTCTGGCTACTTACCGACTTGTCGGTTTTAGCTGGGTGTGTTAAAAATAGTGAGTTCAAATTAAAATAAATGAGATTCGAATACATTATATTATAAGAGTGTTCATACAGTCTTGAAATGTTTCAAAATTGTAAAGGGAATTTATTGATACCATATATTATTTTGGCCCTCACGGATGTATTAAATGAAGTAAAAATACTCAAACAATCACTGATTAAAAAACAATAAACCTAGTCAAGATATATTAATTGAAAAATTGAAACAAAATTGAAATTGTAAAGATATTTTATGGACACCCTGTATTTTTAAAAACACAAGAATCGAGATTTTTAAATAGATCGGTAGATTTTCCAATCATTTGGCGACGTCGTATTTAATGTTAAACTTTGCAGCATGAAATTTTAATACATTTAAAGGAGTCATTTGAAATATCCAGGATGAAATAATTTGCAATTATAAAAAGAATTATAAATATTAGTATTTATATGTGTTGTTGATTCAGTTTTGCAACTGCATTCGTAACGAATATTATTATTCATTTTTGACATTGAAGGATTAAGTTAGCTGTTATTGTTTTTTTATTATGTTATTTTCTTATATTTGTTATAAACAGTAGCGTAGCCAGAAATTTCCGGAAGGGTGTTCTCGAATTTCTCATTGCCAAGTTAGTTTACATTGTAACAACTTACTATTTACAATGTGCCCATCTCATTTCAAGATTCGCGTTCGAAAACATTCTTCTTTCCATAACCCATACTTATATATTGCGTTTGTAAACGTCTAAGTATGTGCCCCGTTCATCTCGGCTTTGTGCAACAATTCTAAATATATAAACCCCGATAACGTGGAATATCCTAAGCAATTCAAGAGTCTTTCTGCACACTGACACAAAGATATTTCTGTAACGTCTGACCTTGGTCTCGTTAATATATTTGTGTTAGTGTGCAGCAAGACTCTTGAATCACTTAGGATTGTTATCTCTACTCTTGCTACAGCATCCTTGCATTATATGCATACGGACCCACCGACACAAAAGCATAGAAGTAGGATAAGTAGTTAGTCCCACAGAAACCAAATCATTAGCGAGCGTGAAATATTTTGCTATTTCCAGCGAGTATCATTGTCCGAGAGCTTGGGCATTGTGTATTATAGTGTGCCCCTAATCATCTTCAGTCAAAATTCGTTCTTATATCAATTCAAACAATTTCGCTGTTTTCGCTTTAATCGCTTGAAACGCTCTAATCAGGTTGAAATTTTTCCATTTGCAGTGAAGCTGTCCAATCTCATGCGCGTCCTTGGGAACGATGCGGTGCAAGATCCAACTAAAGTGGAACAACATGTCCGTGCTCAAATGGCCAAAAGAAAGCGCGAACACGAGCAAGCCAATGCAGCGAGAAAATTGACAACTGAACAGAGAAAAGAAAAGAAGATGAAGAAATTAAAGGAGGATGTTTCTTCGGGAGTGCATGTTGCTATCTACAGGTATGAGTTTACGCTAAAAACGTTATAAATAGCAGTTACTGCTGCCACATGGTTAATACAATTCTTGAATGACCTGGAAGAGATCTATCGATGTAAATCTACTTTTTAAATTCCAATATGTGCGATACATATTAAAACTCATTTATCTTAAAAATGCATCTGAAACGCACAAGGAAAAATTATGTCGTTTGAGGGGAGGATTTGCTACAGAATTACTAGTAGTGGTACTTATGCATAGAGAGAGGGGAATAAATATTTCCAAAATAGACGGAAGGGGGGCTTTAACGACGAAGGTTGGGAACCACTGGTGTACGTCAATCAACGGTAAATAAATATTGTCTCCATCCACTGGCGTACGTTAATAAACGGTAAATAAAATTTGTCACCATCTACTGGTGTACGTCAATAAACGGTAAATAAAATTTGTCGCCATCCACTGGTGTACGGCAATACACGGTAAATAAAATTTGTCGCCATCCACTGGTGTACGTTAATAAATGGTAAATATAGTTTGTCGCCATCCACTGGTGTACGGCAATAAACGGTAAATAAAATTTGTCGCCGTCCACTGGTGTACGGCAATGAACATTAAATAAAATGTGTCGTCATCCACTGCTGTACGGCAATAAACGGTAAACAAAATTTGTCGCCATCCCCTGGTGTACGTCAATAAACGGTAAATGAAATTGGTCGCCATCGCTTTACGTAACCGTTAAACCATTTCCAGTATTTGATGTGTGAATAATTATTACTTTTGTTTTTTCTGGATGAGAATTTTCTTAAAATTCAAATTTTCCGAACCCACGTAACAATCCAGACAGTGCGACTCTTTATAATCTTTTGAATAAATAAATTAGGTTACAATTGCGTAATAAAATAATAGATTAGATTAAGTTCATGCTTTCTACGTCACTTGATGAATCTAAATCTATATCTTGCACCAAAACGTTTACGAGGTTTTATTGGTTCACTTGGCTAACACAAACAGTCTCCGAACTCGTAATAGAAATAAAGTAGGAAAAATTGGAATGAAATAATGGCCTAACCCTAACCTGGTACACATACGGGAGTACCGACAATTTTTCGATCAGAAAAACGTAAAGCCATTTTCACTCTTGACTTGTGAGAACCAATGTGACTTGTGCCACCCCATTGTTGAATTACAGCCGGATTTTGAAATATTTTTGATTGCTATAAATTCTAAAGTCTTTATTTGCGGTATTAAATATTCATTGTTTATGTTATATATAGTACCGAGTTCAATTGCGACATACGTCTCCGCGACATACGACGCGTAAACCTAATATTATCGTAATGGGTGCTTTCAGCTTCACACTGCAGGTTCTTCATTTCGACAAGTTATTACATCACGTGCATCGGGTTATTTTTGAAACTTACGAAGAGCGTCTTGACGATGCTGTCCAATTCCCACAATTATGTATTTCAGCTTCAAGCCAATTATGCAGTTCATCTTACCAGGGTTCACCGAACTGGGGTCCGCGGACCCTTTGGTGTCTGCGATGGTGACCGTACATTTGAACCCACGTACATTTGAACCCATGTGTATATACGCGGGTTCAATCCATATGCGGGTGCTAAAACCCACAGGTTAGGGTTAGTATGGGTTCAAATATCCGCGAAACAAAAAAAAATTCCATAGGTGCAATATATGCAGGTACAATTGTCGTGGGTTCAAATGTACGGGAACCGTCTGCGATGATTGCACAGAGAGTCCGGTCCGCAACGATGTGAAAAAGGTCGATCGATATTCAATGATCGATTTCAATTAAAAAGCCATTTTTTTTTTTGGTTGAGCGTTGCGGACGAATATACATTGCTGTCAGAAGAGGCAATTAAAATTTTATTGCCTTTCGCAACGACCTACAAGTGTGAGGCAGCATTTTCAGCTCTTATCAATATGCTGACATTATACAGGTCCGTCTAGAATAAGACTCACAAACAGGGGTCCGTCGCCGAAAAAGTTTGGGATGGCTGGGGTTAAAATCGAAAAATTTAACGCAAACAATACAAAACAGGTTTCCGAAGAGTTTTGTGGTGGATGTTTTTTAGATTGGATTTGATTTGTAACACCGATTTCACAATACTCATAAAATGTTAAAAACTCTGAATACCTAGCAAACAAAAACTTTAAACGTCGATGATCCAACTTATTTAGAGATTTGATCAGATTAACATGGCAATGGAAACTCTTCATAAAATCTTCCGATATTACATAATAAAATAATTTGACTGCTTATTTATTTTTGTTGAAACTGTTTCATAACCGCGCAATAAGTTTGCGCTGTTTAAATCCGTAAATTATATATTTTATTTTCTATATTTTCCCTAATAGGTTATGCAAATTATTTTTGCATATTTGTGTTATCATAAACAATATGATAACGAATTTGTCATAACGAAATTCCACTATTTTTGTTTTGATGCCTAAATGGAGCGTATTCGGTTCTATTCAATGTTTTGTTTATTATTTTTTGTTGAGGTATGGGGGAGGGGGGGGGCATTTATTTCCCAACTGTTTTTCGAAATACTGTATTTTCCCGTAATTGCTAGACGTTTCCGCAACTTATTGGGACATTTAATTCCAAAATTTTAGTACTAACAATAGAATAAGTCGCTAGAACGCTATTGTTCTTACTTTTTCGAATTTTCTCAAAGTCCTACAGTATCGCCCTAAATTTTACTAATTCACAAAAAATACACGTTCACTTGACATTAGGTATATTTACATTTAACACGTCTATTAACATCATAACATCTTAGCAATTGACTAATTTAACTGACATTGGGTGACAATAATAGTCATTTGACCTTGGTATTCAAATATCCCAGCATTGCTATTTTGTTTATAAAAGTGACGAATGATCAGTACCGAGCAATTAAACTTTGACCCCATCGGAACACTTATTGTTCGTAGAGTGATCATGTGAATAGTTGTGATTAAAATGCGGTGATATACCTGAGTAGCTCAAGGCCTATATTAGTATTATGTATAAAAAAAGAGGGAAAGTTAATTGATTCGAACAGTATTCCAACTAATTATATATTTTTGTGGAGTTGAATTAAGACGGCCAACCCTCGAAGCAGGAATGTCAAAACGCTATCCGTGTGACGCAGTGTTTCCCAACCAGGTGTTTTTTTGTTTTTTGCGAAACCTCTTTTAAACATAAGTACCTTTAAATAATAATAATAACCTCATCCGTGGTGTATGAATTAGGTACGATATTTGCCGAACTTTGAAGTTTCCTGTCCATTTAAAATCTCCGTTCACGGCAGTGGCTACGTGCGTCGTGTGAAGAGCCTCGTTCTGAGCTAGAATGTGAATCATCTCGCAAAAATGGCAGCTACGTGTGTTATTGGTCAGCGCTTTCTCCAGTGCGCGTGTCAGATCTTATCATTCAACTTTTGCAACCGTCGCCACCAATTCGTTACATTTTTTCGGTAACGCCTATTACTTAAATCCGATAGAAAAATAAACTTTTTAAAACTTTTTGGTAGTTTTCATATATTGTAATTGTAACGCCCATCTTCCAATCCCCCACTTATCGGCTTTTTGTACCCAAACCAAGCATCATTACCGGTGATAAATTGGTATTATTTTTACGGCTTTGTCGGGCGATTTTTTGCTTATTTCTTACTGTTTGCTTATTTCTTACTGCAACAATTTGTTTCATGATTGTGCATTTTTTACATCACAATTAGGCGTTTTTAGTTTAAAAAATTGGAGGGTCGCACACATCAAGGCGACTGTGTGGTGCCAAGTTTTATTATCGGACTTTAGACTAAATGCCGATAAGAAAATATAATCGGAGTAATTTTGTTTGTGATCAAACTATCTTTAGGCTCACGTAAACAGTTTCAAGAATAAAACGAAGCAAAGTACCCCGATTCTCGCCTCACACAGACTAAAAATGCTCGTTCTTTCTCAGGCCTGTATTCCTACACCTTGACTAACCCTTTCTGTCGATCATTTTGAAAATGCGAATTGGTTATGCGCCCCCAGACTGCTTGGCCTATTCAAAGCCAATGTGTTGTATTAGACCATTCAAGAAGCTACTATCAGTAAATAGTAGTATTTTATTTTTTCACCATACTCGATATACAATTATAGGACCGAATATAATGATGAAACGTAATTATGGCATTTCAACCAATACGAATAACGACACCCGTGATTATGTCTAACAGTGATTAACACAGGAGGAAGAAGAAGAGGCAAAACATTAATTATATCATAAAAAAAAATTGTCACATACCACATGCTACTATTGAATAATATTTGCTTGTTCTGACCTTGCGTATACAAACCACAGTTGGATCATTCCTTTTTTTGCACATACCTTCATTGGGGAAGTCAATATCCGCATAGTTCGCTACTCATTGCACTCCATTTTGAATCCGGCAATAGTAGGGACGCCCAAAACGAATCGAATATTTGAAATTCATTATATTCGATATTGTGAATTTTTGAACAATTTAGGGTGCTCCAGAAGTATGCGCACCAAGATGTCGCACAACCTGAATCCTAACCGGTACACACATACTATGTTCAGGTTGTGCGCCATCTTGGTGTGCATACTTCTGGAGGTCCCAATTTAGAATATTCTTATTAAACAATTAGTCATTTTGAGCCGCCAGACAAACGAATCTGAACGTACGATATCTCAACTGATAACAAACAACAAAGAGAAAACAATGACGTTTATATTTATGTCGTTTTAAGACATGATGAAATAGTGATTGAAGTTATTTTTCACATGAACTTACTTTCAATAAGAATGTTTTTGATATTTCATATTCGAAGATATTTTCCCAGAATGTATTCGGGATAGGGAAATATTCAGTTTTGATCATTACTGAATACAAGATAATTCATTGTGATATCTGCCAAAATTTTGCTTGAAGTAACAAAAAATTATGGCTTCCTTGCAAACAAATTTTAAAGGGACATGTCCACTTTCTCGTAACGTGTGGCACAAAAATTGGTCTATTATGCGCGCTGTGTTCATGTTTGCAGAGAATACTTTACATTGTAAACAAATTTGGTTCATAAGGGGCTTCCTCAATCGCATTTAATCCGCTCAGTCGAAGTCAAAGAAATATAACTATAAGTATCTTTATGCTTCTTATTTTCATAGACGATATTGCCACGTGAAATATTTCCCTTGTTCACGATGGCCGCCGTAGATTCTCCCGGTGTAATTAGCATATGGTTTCTAGACTTTTGGAAACTGTTCAGTTTCATGTGTGGGGGGTCGCACCAATGTTTTCAAGTTCAATTACAGCTACTGCATCGTTTTTTTTTTAAACTTTGTGAATTACTTTGATGAAATGAGTTCCCATAACAAACTATAATTTATCTCGATTGTTTCTGCGAACAACATGATCAAAGTTTCTTCAAAATTTGCTGATATTATCATGAAACCAATAATAATTATGGACTGATCATTCGAGCCAATTTTTTTTTTGAAAAGAGCTATTTAAAATTGTAGTAATAATGTTTTTGGTGGAAAAAAAGACAAAGTTTAGATTTAGTTAGCGGAACACCTGCTATCACCGTGATTTTATAACAAAAGATCTCTCAGAATATCATTCGCAAAAATCACCAACCAATCGTATTGCCGAATTCATAATTTGTATTTTTTTTTCATAAAGTCATGCCCGACGTCATATTTTTATATCATCATTTTATATCCCTGGCCATATTCTGCTTCGAATACAATACTGTCATTTTAAAATCGTGTTTTATCGATTCAAATAGAGAGCGCATCAATCCACCAGTTTTCTATTCAAAATAAATCTTTAGCGGCACCTGCTGTTGTATTTGTAACTAAATTTGATTTTCTCGGAGCTGGTGTCAAAATTTTCACAATCCGGAGTCGTGAATTTTTTTTTTTTTAGCCTGTGAAAATCAGAACTTTCAGCTCCCTGATCAATCACTTTATATTTGCTCCAATATATATTCGTTATCTTATATGTTTGAAATATAAGCAGCGCAGTTGTGTGAAAGCGTGTGGGTCACGGTTGTCCCGCCTCTTTATTAACGTTCCTTTGCCAGGATTTATTGGGATATTCTATCTTATTCTATTGCATAAACTGGGTTTTAAACGGCGATTGTTTTTGCACTTCTAGAGTCAAAAGTCTGCGAGATCCGGCGAAGAAATTCAAAATCGAAGCGAACAGTAATCAATTATATATGACAGGATGTGTTGTTTTGTTCAAAGATATAAACGTTGTTGTTGTGGAGGGTGGGCCGAAGGCGCAAAGAAAATTTCAAAGATTAATGATGATAAGAATGAAATGGGCCGACGAGAAAAAGTGGAAGAGAGGCGAGTTATGTTATATGTAAATATTGGGGATTTGAATATTTAAAGTTTCGTATTCATTCCTTGTGATATTGCAGAGTCACTTTGTCCTGCATAGAATTCCAACTTTGAATAAATCTCATTTTCTGATAGTTTCTAGTTTGCAGTTTAATTGGAGTCGTTGCACAGGTTAAGTCGTAAGATCAATTACACTCAAAATTGATATTTTATGGCGATGCTTATGCAATAGAAATGTCTTCCCACTCGGAGGTATATATATGATTAGGGTAGAGTTGTGTTTCAGCATTTGCCTCTGCTCATCTCATGTGTTCCAGTCGATATTATTACTCTTAAGAATATAGCCCACTTAAATATAAATTATGATTATATGTTAGTGTGCAGCACAACTCTCAAATTGAATAGTATGGTCATGCTTATTCCTGCTACAGCTCCCTTTCATTATACGCATACTAGCGCAAAGGCATAGGGAAAGGATTGGAAGTTAGTCCTGTTTAACCTCTACCGATACTAATAAATATGTTCAATTTTCAGACGAAGGCGAAGAGTCCGGCCCTAATTCATGCCAGCTTATATGGGAAGGCCAGTCAAAGTCGAAGAACTTCGGTCCAATAACAGTTAAACAATGTTTAACCGAACTGGCCGCTCGAGAGTTTTTCAAAAAACATGGCGTCGAACATTACTGGGATCTCGCTCACTCGACGAAAATTTTAGAAGAGTGAGAGTAATAAAACGAAGAATGTCGGAATATAATAAGAAGTGGACGAGTGATGTGGAGATATTGAAGGGCGGTGGCATTACTGCCAAGTACAAGCATGTTTACAAGACAATAATAACAACGACAGTTTGAGGCTGTCTATCCTTTCTATTTAATCGTAAGCCCGTTCTATTTATATGGACCCGTTGAATAGACCCTGGTTTGCTGAAAGGAGCCATATTTCAGCAATTGCATAATATAAAATGGCTACTTATCTTCGCTATATTTATCTCAACGTCGCCCAGTCGAAGCAAAGTCCCCAGCTATTGCTTTAGAATGAATACTTTGACGATCGCTGATACTTCAGGGGCTATAGCTAGGCTTGTCCATGCGACGGACAGATCAGACGGGGGTTGTTGCGAAATTTGAAATTATTCCATCCGTACTGCTAGGGAAAGGAAACGGCTAAAAGGGACTTTTACAAACTTGAGAGGTAGTTGAAATCAATTGGATTTCAAATTTTGTAATAATTTTTCAATGTGCAAAAAATTAAAACATGAATGTGAATATGAACCTATGAGGCGAATTTAATACCAAATATTTGAAATGATCACGAGGAGACGTATTTCTCAGCTTTGTATCATTCTATCTATTGTCTTGAAGCAGATTATGGTGTACTCCCGAAGTATGTGAACCAAGATGGCGGACACTGGAACGTAGTATGTGTATCAGGTCAGGGCTAGGCCGTAATTTTGGTACAAATGCCACGGTAGTCACTTGGCTTTCCCCCAAAAAAAGGAAAATTGTAATAAAACTATGGTGTCCGCCATTTTGGTTCCCATACTTAGGGAGTAAGGGATACACCGATTATGGTGCTCGATTTCTCTGGAAACTTTCAGCAAGTGACTTGTTTCGTCTAAGTACAAATGTCGTTCTGCGATTCAACTATGTGAAAAATTTAATAAACGAAAATACAATTATCTTTGTGATTTGTGAGAGTGACTGGGCAATATTACAGATTAAAGTTGTTGTGCACACGGGTTTATTTGTAAAATTGTTGTTGGGTTGTTGTGAAAGGGTTTGCTTAGAAACTAATAAACTTATCGGTGTCAAATGCGCAACACCCGAACAGTCACTAAGAGACTTCCACTTTATGATTTAAATAAAGTGATTGGTCGTTATTACGTTAGGTCATCACGCCACTCGAAAAATAGTCGACATTTTCAGCAGATAACGACTTTTTAGTTGCGTAAAATATTCAATGCATGACCGACGCAAGCATTTAAAATGTCTTGTCATATTAATTTAATTGCGTCGAATTACGGTGAAATAAATACACTAAAACTCTATAAAATGCTACAGCAATCTACGGCGCGGACATAAAATAAACTGGTCGAATATAAATAGATGTCGGCTTTTTTGCGACCTTGGCATCTGTCAACTCCGATATATTATTTTAGCACTGGGTGCCACTCAAGATAACTTTAAAGATACTGTCGTTAGAGAAATCCCAAGTCTGCGTTAAAATACCAAAGAGTGAAATCAGCAACTTCGCAAAGTATTTAATTCATGTCCAATACGGGTATATTTAATAAATGTGTTCAATATAATTAACTGTTGAGTAGACCAAAAATATAAATGCATTACTTTTCCTGAATGCGGCGCCATAAATGTGCGTGCGAAAAGTATTAATCATGAAAAGTTCAATGATATAATTTTGAATTGGGAATAACAGTAACTGGTATTTTTACTCCAATAATAGTGTACAAGAATCTCAATTCAATAATAGTCATCATAAATTCTTAAATTGTCAAACGACTATCAAGGGGGCGCATTTTTAGACTTTGCCATGAGCGCCGTTTTACGTAGATACGCCACTGATGTGTTTACCCCCATTATCAAACGACACTCAATTTGTATTACCTCAGTGAAGTTTGATTTGATATGAGTTCATCTTCGTAAGATAATGAATAATACCGAGTCCGGCCAGTTATGTCGATAGAGTTGGAATTCCGAACGTGGTCGAGAGACGTAGGCGGAGTAAATTTGCTTTGCGGGCCGCGTGTTGGAGACCCCTGGTTTGACTTGTGTAGTAATTTATTTGTTATTGTTGACGCTGTAATTCCCTTGATTGACAGTGTGTTTCTACACAATTTATTACAAAACAATTGAGAGAGCCTTTGTGGGCAATTACTTGTCCAGGCACATCTCGCTTAGTCATGGGCGCTTTACTTTTGTGGAGAATGGCGCTCGTTTCGTTGTAAAAAAGTTGAAATTAGTATAGCGACTTTTAACATTAGAACGATTAGTTTAGGGCTTTTCCACAAAGGTTTAGTTTAAGGATAGTTTTATGAGCATTGGATTGCCGTTGTGATTGGTTTTACAGTTATAGGGTATTTAATTGATTTGATTAGATTTCATTGACGAATGATTTCATGTTAAACTTGTGATATTTCAAGCACGGAATAGCGGCTTCGGTATGTTATAATATGTAATTCTTTCTGACTTGAAGGCTGTAAGTTATTTAATAGTAATTTGGTTCGACTTTCTAATTAACTATGTTTGATAAATGTGTTGGGAAATTTGAGTAGGCTTTCTAGAAGCCGAATTAGATATGATTATTTCTTTATTGCAAGTATTTTATACTTATTTGTTTCTACATTTGTATTAAGGAAACCGTGTGAACTGTATACTTGGCGTTGTTTGATTCTCTGGATTTGAGAATACAAACTTGGGGCTTGAAATACCGCGTTAATGAACTGTTAAAGGGTATCTAGTGTGCAGTCGGTGTCATCCAGGTAACAAAAAACGGCTGTTACAGTTTTCGAAATCTTGCATTCATATCCCATACCCACGACCAACAACAAATGGCAATGTAGAAACCAAAAAAATCTGGTATTTCGGAAAATAGCAATTAGATATCAATAGCCCGTTGTGCAGAGCATTGTTTAGGGAAAGTTTAAGTTTTGAAAACGACTTACAAATTAAAAAGATAAATTATAATTATTTATCCTCATTTTCAGGCATGTTTGTAATTGCTCTAATCTTTACGATGAGATCTGGGAGTTACTTCCTCGACATATTCGACGGATACTCAGTTACATTTGACTTTTTCCTGTCGCACTCTTCGAAACAATTGCAGTTGCTTGGGTCATCAAACTAGAAAAGTGAGTGCTTTACACTTTGTTGTCATTTTTGTATTGAAAATTATTTAGAGCAAGAATTTACGCCAGGAGTTCGCAACCGTTATTATCACAGGAGGGGCAGATACAAACAACTGGGTGAAACCGCAGACCGCACCTTTTGTAACACAAACTTTCTAGAAAGTATTTCTGATACTCAATCATGTTTTTATGATGCAAGTATAGTTGCGTAGGACTTAACTAAATTGCCATCACAGATTAAAATAAATCCACCACATCACTTAGGTGTAATGGATTGGGTATAGGCAGTGCCGCACCAGAAAGAATCGAGGCCTTCAAACTGAAGCCAATATTTGTGAAGCAGTGGCAACTGCCTTGTTGATAGCAATACTCAAAACGAGTATAAACATGTCATGTAAAATTTATTTTACATTACGTTATTTTGACAAATAACCAGTCCACTTATTTTTTTCAGCTTCGAAAATGACATATAGAGAAATTGATTCAATCAAAACCAGCCTGAAATATACCTGCCCAGTTTTTATGGGGGTTACTCGTTATTCTGATTGCGAGCTTCGTGCTGAACATGTTTCTCAACCCTCCCAGTTACTACGCTTGGAACAAAGACACCGCCTCGAAAGACGAGTTAACCTATATGCCATGGGCCGCGTTTATTATCGTATTATTGATACTAAGCTTGATGTTCTGTATTCGGAGTTACGGAATCTGCGACTCTGTTGAATTTAAATTCTGGCATTGACTTTCGGGACACGTAACATATTTTCGAATGTAGATGACAGTTCACAAGAATACGCCACCTAGTGGATATTAAATGTCGAAAATCTAACTTTGTTCTTAGAATTAATTTTAATTTCATCATTATAATTCTGTTCAGCTCTTTCATTTCTCCCGTGGGAATTTGCACTGATCCATTTCGGGTCGAAAATCCCGATTCGAATATTCTAAAATACCCAAAACATTGACAAAACCTCGTCTAATTGGCGGCGTATTCTGGTATTCAAGCACAGATTTTTTTTGTATGAGTACCGCCGTATTTTTTGGTCGACTACTGACTTGTTTAATAATCAAATCGTTTGACTACAGAAGTATCACTGTACTTGCTTTAATATTATTTACTATGAAAGCTCTAGTTATCTGGTATGATTGGCAAATCTGTTATGAACTTTTAAAAAACAAAATTTTCCACCAAATTGATTTTTAATTGAGCTGCCTGCAGTTTGTGGGTTCACAATCTATGACAAAATTCTGTCAAAATCACACCGCTTTGAACAGATCCACCACCTCTGATTTATACACTGTGTTCCGGTACATTCAAATTTATTTTTCTATCTTTTATTGTACAATTTATTTTGTATATACACTCAATGTTTTGCCCTGTTTGAATTTGGTATTTATTCTTCTGTGTCTGCTTTCTATCGCTTTTTCTCATTTCATATTGTAATGTATTGTTTCTGTCTTGTTTTGGTTGTTTTGAATGATTTTTACTTTGATTGGCACAAGATATTCATGCTAGATTTTACTGGTACAGAAGTCAATAATATTTGAATTTGTTCCGAATCATCCAACGCTAGATAATCTAAAATTCTTTGCAATCAGGATATCGTACCTTGGCCTCAAGTTGAAGCTTTAGGTTAGCTTAAAAATGCTAAATTTAGCTTGATTACACAAAATTTTACTCAATGGTACAAGATTTTTTAGTTATTTTTCAAGCGCGACTTCAAGAATTTCGATTTTTTTTAAGAAATGTCAGATTGCAAATTTATGCAAAGCTTATCTATAGCTATCGGATACTTTTTACTTTGAACTCCCAAGTGAAAGCTTTCGATTCAAATTTCAAATTCACTGTTTTAATGTAAATTTTCACCCAAACAAGTATCAGTATAAACAAGTTTTTTGTAAAATTCGTCGAACGGCTTCCTCCAACATACGCAATTTCTTATTCCAGCCAGGGTTATTTGTTTTATTGTTGTTTTCTATTGAAGCTGTCTTTTCTGTCTCACATTGAAGTGTAGTGCGTGTTACTTTTATATATTTGTCGTCGAAATCATTTTTTTCTCAATCCCCAAACTTCAATCTAAATCAGTGGTTCTACAAATTTTCAAGCCACGTTTTTAGAATTTGTCAAGTCTCTTGCCCTACCTCAAAAATAAGTAGCTAACAATAAGCTACATATAACAGTTTGTAAGGCGAAAGTTTTATTTAAAAAAGGCGTAAAAATACAAGAATGGAATGTAAATATCAAAAAAGGCAGGCAAGATCAAATCTAGCATATATTTCCATTATTAATTAGCTTCAAGCCCCCTTCAAAAAATTGTGGGACACGCGCCGTTTGGGAACCACCGATCTGAAGTCAATCTAAATTGCCGGTGGAAAAGCATATAATGGAACCGATTAGCGTCTAATTCTAATACACAGTACCCTATATTTGAATTAAAACCATCGTTTCTTTGAATATCTTGGTTTTTGAGTAAATATTTACGTCTTGCTTGCCCTATAAAAAGCTATGCTGCATTCAATTGCTTCTATTGTTAAGTTCCGCCCAAAGAAATCGCCCATATACACAATTTTATTTATATTCATATTCTATATATGCTCATATATTGAATTTACCTTTTTGTGTCACAATTTTACTAAATATTACTATTACTATCTGCACATCTGCTAATACGGACCGTCACCTCCCCCTGGAAGGTAGCAAAATCTCATATGTGCTCCTTTTGATAAGCTCTATGCTGGAGTAACAACTTTCCCAGTGTCTTCTTCAGATCATAGGTTAGACCTGTCAGGTCTGCTTGTTTGGAGACTTCTTCGGGGCCTAGTTCAAACAAAGCTAGGAAATCAATGCCCAAATTTGGGGTTTATTTTGCTTATGTATCTACTTGTCCAAAGCATTACTCAGAAAACCTGTTTAGAAATAAGATGAATGGCTTTATTTGGAGCAAAAGCTTAGCTCAACCAAAAACTTTATTACCTCCAAATTCTGTATTTTATTCATCCATATTGACTTTTTCACAGCCTTGGTTCGAGTCTAACAAGAGACCCATGCCCAAACCTGTGTTATTTTATGCTGTTCTATCTGCTTTTCGCCCCCTCCCCCTTATTTTGAAATGTAAAAATGAAAGCATCCAACTTTTGAACCCTCAGAACTCGTGAAGACCCATATTCTCCGTTCTTCGGTCGAAACCGCTCCCTGTTTTGGTCTAACTTGGCAAAAAGAAATTTTAGAGCCCTCATTTGGAAAAATCTTGGCCCCTGATTCTATACGCCCAGTATCTGCTTCCCCCCTGTTTAGAAAGCGAGTACGAAATAAGTTCCCGTCCAATTATGACTCATCAATTGAAGCCATTTTAAATTGAAGCAATGTTACTCAGTTTTTAATGTTAAAACTTAAAAATACACAATACCTCGTCCCAAACTTCCCAAGTTTCCTAAAGTGCAAAAGTATTCATTTATAGAGAAAATTTGGCGAAATATTAGAACTTTAGCTATTTTGTGTGCCTTGTGTGTTTTTAGATTTGAAAAATGTACTTAGAAATGCTTGTTTTATTAAGGAATCTGTAAATAAATTGAAAAAAAAAGCGATTTCAAAGTGTTTTTGCTAAATTATGACGTCACTTTAACGCTAAGTCCGCAGGAATACCACTCCCAACGTTTTATACTGATATGATGTTTCAAGCCTCCATATACCCCAATGTAAGGCCCGGGAGCAAAATAGGATCATTCAATGGAAGAGGAAAAAAGTTGAGACGACTTATGTTGAAAAATGATTTAAATCATTAATTATTACTTATCGATCTTAAAATCAGTAAGTATGTTGATAGGTATTTGTAGGTTTGTTTGTCTGTCTGTCTGTTAGATGCACGCGATATCTCACAAAAGCGAGGTTGAATCTGCTCCAAATTTTGCATGTACATTCATCATAGCTCGGATCAGAAGCCTATTGATTTTAGATGAATTATTTCGTATATTTAGCGAGTTAATAATTAATTAGAGAGTGAACACACGGTGTCACTATGGAGTAAGAGCGCTGTTTTGGAGGATCCCCTAACCTTCGATCGATAAGTCTACGATCTCCGACCGATATTATCGTTTTACAACTAGTAGGCTTAAGGTTTATACTACCAAGTCCGCCCGCCATTATTAGACCAGAACATGAGTAACTTAGAGACACGTGGCCGAGTTAGAATTTCTTATATATTCATCGATACCTAACTAACAGCCAATCATAACGCATATTCCAGGTCACGTGATCGGCGCAGAACTTCATTTGCCATGTTCCAGCCATGCGCAGACGGACACCTTAACAGGAAGTTGAATTTCCTTACCGGAAGTTCCTAATTGCCATGCGCACGAAAATACTCAACTCCTATTGGCTGATTCAAAATTTCTCAACCTGCGCAGTAGATTACCGGCCATCTACTTGCCATGCGCAAGAATTATCGAAAAATGACCGTTGCCAGATTTCAGAATTTCGTTTTTGAACAGTCTAAACCAGAATCGCAACCGTCAAAAATAGTAAATTTTTGCGCATGGCAAGTGCATGTCCGTTTTGGTTCTGCGCAGGTCACGTGACTTTGAAATTTTCTGATAGGTCGAATTTCATCCAATTGAAATATTCCTTTATTGTATTAGGTTTAAAGGACCCCGCCCTTGCTACTATAAGGGCAAGGAAAAAAGTGCTTAAGTTCGATGGAATCCTCACCAGAGTTACTTGAGCTACACTTCTCTTGACATTATAACACTTCATTTACTGACTATTAGGCCTATTTAAGTTACCTTAACTTACTTTTGGTGAACTTTGGCTGCTAAAAAACCTTAGCTGTGCCCTTTAAAAGATAGCTGATGGCCATAATTTTCTTCTGAATAAGTTATTGTCGCAGAGTTAAAAACTGTGATCTAAAATGGCTGTTATTCACATGTTAATCATTATAGGGCACTCGATTTTCATTCTTACAACCCTATCCAGGGTGAGTAAATAGAGGTAAATCTGTAAATAGAGAATCCCTTTTTTGGGCGCTCACATAGTATGTGTACCAAGATGGCGCACAACCTGATAACCCTAGCCTGGTACACACTACGGGAGCGCCCCTTTATGCATGTATTAACGATTTATTATTGTACATAGATTTGATCAAGAGTGAAAACCTAGCTATTTCTGCTCTTTTATGTCTTAATTAAGAGAATTATAAGACGATGCCTTAAATGGGTTCTCCAAATGTTCCATAAGGGCTCTGTGAGAGAAATCTAAAGGCTCAAATAGAAAAGGACAAATACACCGGAGTTATTAAATAAAATAATTTCAGTTCACTCAGGGACATTAATCTATAAATGATTTGTTTTTATTTTATAATTTTATTGCGGGGCTCTGTAACGCCAAACATTCGAGAACTCAATGGAATGAAGCACACAAAGCACTAATATTTTGCATATGATGAATTTATTGCAATAAATCTTCACACATTAAAAAAAAGCATAATGAAATACTGTTATAATATTTTGAAATGAAAAAGAGCACAATGTCTAAAAATTGACTGGACACTATATGAAAGCAATTCTATAATAACTGATACAGAGTGGGGTTAAAAGGAGGTTGTAAATGGGGCCAATTTACAATCAACTCTGACTCTCGAGATCGAAAATAGACTTCCAACTGTGGGCTGCAAAAAAATCGTGGTTTAGTGATAAAGAGTAAGGGGGAAAAGAGGTTTTAAAGGGGGCTAATTTACAATATTGACTCCATGTTAAAAAATGGACCCCCCAGCTTTAGGCTGTGAAAAATATGAATTTAAGAAAATAAGAAAAAAAAAGGATATGAATAGGGTAAGAATTTGAATGCGATACCTTTGGATTATTTTACGTTCTTCCCTAACAGTACAAACTTGGGATTTCCAAGTCTCAAGTGAAAAAAAGTATTTCTATATCAGTGCTTCCTAAACAGTGGGGTGAGCCCCAATTTTTTGAGTGAGCTAAAAACTAATTTAAAATAAAAAATATTAGTTAGATTCGATCTTGCCTGCTTCTTTGGCTATTTGAATTTATATATTTTGGATATTTACGGTCCATCCAAGTATTTTCAATTTTTAATAATAAAACATATTTGTGTCTCACATATGTGTTATCTGTATTGTAGGCTAGTTATATTTTAGGTGGGGCTCCAAACATGATAAATTGAGGAAGGGGTAGGTTAAAAAGCTTGTTCTATATCTATATGATCTAGGAGGCTTTAGAAATGTAAATATTGGCTTCAAACAATAACAATTATTAGGACTTGTTTTAACACCTGAAAACAAATATTTATGTTTATAAGAAGCCTCACGCCCCTCAAATAATTGTCTGTGACCCCCCTTGTTTGCTCTACATTGAAAACATGGGAACCTTCAGGATTAAATTTCAAAGCTCCCAAATCATGTGCACCAAGATGGCGCACAACCTGAACATAGTATGCGTCCCAGTTTAAAGTTCAGGTTGTATACTTCCGGAGCGCCGAAATTTCAATGCTTTACAGATGCTAATTTCCTAAACCTGGTTTGTTATTACAACTATAGTAATAATGATATTCTGTTTGTCTTGATTAAATAGGATATTGGTTTAGGGGTTCTTACGTTTTATTTTCTTGGAGAAAATTTATCCCCAATGCAGGTAAAATCTACCCCAAGTCGAAACACTTGGGTTTGGCCAAGCTGAAACGGATTAGAGTCTTTCTAAGATTAGAGTCTTTCTAAAAAACATCAGTGCTTATCAACGGTTGAATAAGTTAGACTCGCTTAGTGAAAGGCACGAAACAGATCATGACAAAATAATTAGGTGATATGGGAACCAACGGTAAAAAACAAGATAGATAGGGTGTCCATAAAATCTTAAATTTTCTTAAAATTCATTTATACTGAATATTGTGTTGGCCCTCACAGATATATTGAATGTTAAAATATTTGGACAATTAGTATTTAAAAAACAACAAACCTGGTTAATATATATTGAGAACTGACTTCATAACCATATTGGAATTGTAAAGGGACTTTATATACACCCTGTATTACATATGGCAACAAAAAATCAATGAAATCTAAGATTTAAAGGGGCTTTGGCTTTGCTACGTATCAGAGAATTATCAGAAACTCACTTACAGTTACAGCAAAGGCACAATCCAATCTCAAACAATAATGCAGCATTAATATGCCAGTGATGAATACATATTAGATGAATCTGGGTAAAAATTCAATAATTATGATCAAAATTGATAAAATGGGAAAAATCAAAATTCAGCTTTAGTTATCACATAAAAACAACACAAAAACAAAATTATTATTTATCCCATACAAAAAGTACAGGGCTAGAATCAATTCCCATTTCCAGATGATTTAGACTACATTTGTGTGAGTAAAATTTAAAGATTAAAATGATAAATAAAATGAAAGTTCAATATTTCACATGAAGTTGACTTTTTTATCCCATAAAAACAACACAGGAATAAATTAAACTTATTATTTATCCCATACAAAAAGTACAGGGCTGAAATCAAACTTATCGGGCATTTTCAGATGATTTACATTTGTGTGAGTAAAATTTAAGGATTATAATTAAAATGAAAGCATAATATTTCACATAAAGTTGACATTTTTATCCAATGAAAACAACACAGGGCTAAATTAAACTTGTTATTATCTCATAAAAACAGTACAGGGCTAAAATCAAATCTTGCAGGCATTCCAAGATAAGACAAATTTGCATACAGCAATTTTGAAAACTCAAAAACCGGTTGTTGATCGTGGGACCCGACTACTTGGCGTTTTAATGAATCTCAAACTTCCAAAGCGACTTTCAGATCCTCTAAATCCCCTCCAAGTTAGAAAAGATGGAAACCAAAAAGTTTGAGACGAATCGTAGGGTTGTAAACCGCAAGATTATTATATCAATCATCCAATCCTTGGACTTGCAGAAGGACTTTAAAAACTTCCTTCCAGAAATTCTCATCTGGTTACATCTTGATCATTTCTAACATCCACTAGATATTATCCTGCACGAGACACATCACTTGCTCAACAGAGTCGAGTCGCAGTAACCTTTTAAAGTGTTGTCACTCGATTCTCTCAGATGTTATATATTCTTCAGCATATCCTTCTCCATAGACTTGCAAACATTGTAAAAATGAATGTCATTAATAAAAATTTGGTAATGAAAATATCAGCAGTTTTCAAACATTTCGGTAGAGTGGACCCTGAAGAAACATTTTAGAGGCTAGGGGTTGACATAGGCAAACTACAGCCCACATTCGAAATTCGGCCTGTTTAGTAATTCAATCTGGCCCACCTGGTGACCTGATTCTACCACAACCAATCAAATTTGATGTTTTAGCTAAAAAATAACCCAAAAAATTTGTTGAGATTGCAGTCACGGTAAATTTAGTTTCGGCACAAGGCTTACTGTTTTCCACCGTCGCTTTGTAACACTGTAAATATTGTTCATAACTTTTTACGTCACACTTACATGGCCCAGCAGTCTAAGTGGGCAAAATTTTAGGCCCCTGGTTTAAAAACCTTGCCCACCCCTGGGCTAGAGTGTAATATTCATAAGGCATGAGTGTGAGTATGGCCTTGACAGGGATTTCATTTTATTTGAACAATATACATATATTAATATAGACCAGGGTGGTCCAAGGTTGTCGGCTCCGCAGGCCACAAAATTATTTTTTCATTGTTCGCGGGCCACAATGGTGCCAAGAATACAAAAAAAAAACTTTAATTGTGCAAACACATATTTATCAGACATAGCCATCCCAGGCTAATAGAATCCGCATTCGATTTTTAGTTTTCTATGATGCCTATATTGTTAGCATATATTCCCAACCAAAAAGATAGAAAGCCAGATAATAATTTAGACTGCCAAGCACATCATTCAACTTCGCTATTAGCCTCAGCTAGCCATAACACTATTCAATTCAGTGACATAAGTGATGTAACAAAACAATATGTCAAAAGATTTTTTTGAATAAATTGATTACGAAACCACACGAAATGCGATTTATTGATTACTTTCCGAATGTGACGCGGGCCACTAATAATGAAGCGGCGGGCCACATGTAGCCTAGGTTTGGACCACCCTGATATAAACTTTCGGATTTGAAATCTAGTGTGCCATGGTTATAGGCTTGAGAGTTGTTCAAACTCCAAATAAACATGCAGACATGAGCAAATTGATCTTTGAAGTGTAGCAAGTTAAATTATAAAGACAAATCTAAAATGGAATTCGATTCTATTTGAACAATATGAGTCACTTATATTAACATAGACTAAATATTGCAATTTGAATGAAAAATTCCCTAAACCATATCTTAAACAATGCAGCTGAACTCTGGAATACCCTAACAATTTTATGGTCTGGTCCTGGTGGTCTTGTGTAAATTTCACCTTTTTACTAGTTATAAAAAATAAACTTGATTTGGAGCAATAAATTTTTTTTAAAATTTGACCCCAGAAAAATTCTCTCGGTAGTTTGGTATGTCAAATTTATTGCAACTTATTTTAATTGTGTTTTGTGTAGAGTTGGCGCTTACGAAAATATTCAACCAAGTGCAGTTTAGGGGTTCTGATAGCTATAATTAGCGACTAGTTCCTAAATATTGCAACACTAACTGAATCTTCTCGGAAGACATGATGACATTTGAGTTATCTAATTTACAACAATTTTTGGAAACAGGAATGAAAACTGATGAACTTAATGATCGAGGCAATACTTACAGCCATACTTGAATACCTGTCACATGTACAGAAGTCTCAGAGCGGCAGCAGAAATTACAATTGTAACGTCATTTTAGACTTATGACTGATTGAGAATTGTACCGTAATAAACATAAAAAACAAAATTCCATCGGTGTCAGTGGCGTATCCTATCTAGGGTGTGGCAGCCATGGCTCGAGCCATGAGCGATGTTTGAATAGGAGCGCAAAAAAAGGTGAAAAGTATTAATTATAAAAAGTTTCAATGAAATAATTTCAAATTGGAAATAACTGAAACTCGTATTTCATCAATAGTCATTATAGATTTTCAACAACTATCAAGGGGTGTATTTCAAGACTTTGCCACGGGTGCGATTTTACGTAGATACAGCACTGCCACATTCAATATACAAATATTAAAATACAAACTACGACTCTATCGAAGCACAAAGAGAAAAACAATTTGGTGTAACCTAGTTTCCTTGCACTAATATGCTTATAACAGAAGGGAGTTGAAGAACATGGGAATTCGAAGAAACCAATATGTACTGTACTTAAAAGCCATCAAATTAAACTGATCGTGTTTTTCTTCGTTTTATTTTTAGTTGTGAATTCAGTCCTTTATTAATATCTATAGCAGGGGTATGCAACCTTTATTACAGGAGGACAAGTATCTTTTGCTAATATGACAGGGCCGCGAAAACACCATTGAAAATCGACACGCCACACAATTCCGCAATTCTATGCAGAAAGCAGAAAATAATTATCGTCTTCGCCCTCGTGTTGAGGCCGCTTTTTTGAAAGACACCAACTTCCCCCTATAAGAGTGATCCCCAAGGCAAGTTCCAGGAAATTGTATAAAGCACATATTTAATGGGAAAACCTCACAGACTCCAACAGAGGTCGAAAGCAGACAGTGTCATGCTATACGTTCATATATTGTCGAGTCGCACAAACGAATTCGATTGGCACAAAAAAATATGCTGAAATACAATTGAAATATCAAAGTCTACAATTATACAAATATTAAAATATAAACTACAGCTCTATCAAAGCACATAAAGAAAAATAATTTGGTATACCCTAGTTTCACTGCATTAATATGCTATTAACAGAAGGGTGTTGACTGTTGAAGAACATTGGAACTCTTAGAAACCAATATGTACTTTAGTTCAAAAGTATCAAATTAATTTTTTGCTAGGTACCAAATGTTGCTAAATTAAATAACATTATTTCATTAAAGGTTAAAATGGTCCATTCTGCAAATGTGAATGCTATATCAATAATAAACAATGTCAAAGCAACAGATTAAGCGAAGCAAAATTTTAAACCAAGCAGTTTATTTTCTGCTGCTGCACATACATACTCGAAAAATAGGTAAAAATATTCTCAGTTTAAGAAAAACAAGCAATACTTTGGCACCCGTCAAATATGAACTATTCCATCGTAGTACACATTAGAAAATCCAAATGAACAAGACTGTGCGAGCATATAAGAGTAATTAACAAACTGTACTATACAAAAGCAAATACTCAACAATGGGTACCCCCTTAGTATGTGAACCAAAATGGGGGACAACGAAACATAGTATGTGTACCCGGGTAGGCCATAATTTTTTAGCCCATGTGACTCCTGAAGTATTTGTACTTGTAATCATGGCCTGACCCCAACCTTGTAAACATACTATGTTCCGGTGTCAATGATCTTAGTTCGCATACTATGGAAGTACCCAACAATGCTAACAATGTTAAACAGCAAATCAAAATTACGACAAGTAGATGATTGTTCAGCTGTTGTTAGAGTAACCTGTTTATTTCCAGTACAGGCACATGATATTGCTTTCCCATGGATCACAAATGATTTTTATAACAGAAGAGTCATCACTATTGATGCAATTATATAATTTTATTATATTCTTTGAAGTTTGCTACATATTAACTTTCAATTGTCTATTTTGCATAGATGATGTTTTCCACACTTCACATTCAAACAGTTATTCTCCAGTGTGTACTCTTGAAATCTCTCATTGTCCCCAACAATTGACACCAGTATGGGTTCGTACATGTGTTTTCAAGTTGGAATTGTGGGAGAAAATTAGGTTTTTTGATAAGAGCTTTCCACTTCCATTACAACTGCATGGCTATTCCTTAGTATGGGTACGAATATGGGTTTTCAAGTAAGAATTCACTTTAAAACGCTTCCCACATTGCCCACAAACATATGGTTTTTCTCCAGAATGGATACGAATATGGGTTTTCAAGTGAGATTTCTCATTGAAACGCTTCCCACATTGCTCACATTCATATGGTTTTTCTCCAGTATGAATACGAATATGGTTTTTCAAGTGAGAATTCACATTAAAACGCTTCCCACATTGCTCACAAGCATATGGTTTTTCTCCAGTGTGGGTACGAATATGGATTTTCAAATTGCACTTTGCAGAAAAATACTTTCCACAATGTTCACAACCGTATGGCTTTTCTCCAGTATGAGTTCGTATATGAAATTTTAAATAGTATCTTTGTGAGAAATATGCGCCGCAAAGCTCACAGCCATATGGCTTTTCTCCAGTATGGGTTCGAATATGCCTTGTTAAGTGAGAATTCATATTGAAACGCTTCCCACATTGCTCACAAGCATATGGTCTTTCTCCAGTATGAGTTCGGATATGCCTTATCAATTCAGCATTTTTGAAAAATGACTTTTCACATAATTCGCAAGCATGTGGTCTTTCTCCGGCATGAATTTGAGTATGCAGTTTCAAATCATATTTACTTGGGAATCGCTTTCCACAACGCTTACACAGTTTTTCTATTGTATGAGCTTTAATAAAATGACTTTTCAATATACAACCATCACTAAAACGCTTCGGACACTTTTCACAAAGATATGGTTTTATTCCAGTATGGATTCGTATATGCCTTGTTAAATGAGAGTTTTGTAAGAATCGCTTTCCACAGTGTTCACAAGCATATGGCTTTTCTCCAGTGTGAATTAGAATATGCTGTTTCAAATCAGAAGTACGTGGAAAACGCTTTCCACATTGCTTACAATGGTATGATTTTTCCCCTGTATGGCTCAGAATATGATTTCTCAAGTTATAATTTTCAGTGAAACGCATTTGACAATATTTACAAGTGTATGGCTTTATACCAGTATGGGTTCGAATATGCCTTTTAAGATGGGTTTTTTGTGCGAAATACATTCCACAATGTTCACAACTATATGGCTTTTCTCTAGTATGAATTCGGATATGTCGTTTTAATTGTGAGGTGAAACCAAAACGCTTTCCGCATTGTTTACAAGTGTATGGCTTTTCTCCAGTATGGGATCGGATATGTCCTTTTAGGAAAGAACTTTGAGAAAATTGCTTTCCACAGTGTTCACAAACGTAAGGCTTTTCTCCTGTATGGGTTAGAATATGTCTTTTCAAATGAGAATTTACTGTAAAACACTTTCCACATTGTTTACAAACAAATGGCTTTTCTCCTGTATGAATTCGTAAATGCACTTTCAAGAAAGTATTTCTAGCAAAACGTTTTCCACAGTGCTCACAAGTATGAGGTTTTTCGCCGAGCATTTTCCACAAAATTCCTGATTAAATAGTTGGTTTGGCGTATGAATTCGTGAATGCCCTTGCGGAGGCCCTTCAATTGTAGCTGCCTTCTAATCAGATATGCAATTTTTGAGAACCATATTTCTCCAAAAATAAGACCGGTTTTTATTTTAAGTTTCTTCCGAAAATGACACTAGGGCTTATTTTTGGAGGATGATTGTTTATTGTCCGGACAATTTGTATGATTGTTTACAAACAAATGGCTTTTCTCCAGTATGATTTCGTAAATGCACTCTAAGTAAGAATTTCTAGCAAAATGTTTTCCACAGTGCTCACAAGTATGTAGTTTTTCTCCATGCATTTTCCACAAAATTCCTGATTAAATAGTTGGTTTGGCGTATGAATTTGTAAACGCCTCTGCGGAACCCTTCGTTTGTAGTTGTCTTCTAATCAAAGATGCAATTGATGAGAACTGGCATATTTCAATGACGAAAAGATGTTGCTCCAAGTTAATTATAAGTATCAAAAATCTTGAAGTATGATCTGTGAATACTATTTATGGATCATAAATATACATACATACTTCATATATGGACGTATGTGGTATATCTAGATTAGTGGTTCTCAACCCTTTTTTTTAGGTGGCTCACTTCCATTGCACACAAATTCTGTGCCCCATTAGCTCTTTCATTCAAGAAATAAAACTATGAGAAAAGCAAATACTTCTATCCAAAAAAATAGATGTCCCCCCTAATACCGCAATAAAAGAATGAGAATTACCATTCAGTAGCAAAAACAGTATCATTATGCATTGCTACTGCAATCAAATTTAACTAATGTATCAATAACTTTACCAAGTTTTGATACGCTTGTGGCCCATTTTAAAAGGTTTGTTTGTGGGTTTTGGCAACACTAAGAAATTGAAATTTCTCTCAAGTACCAGATTAACTAAACTAAAAACTTATTTTCCGGGCACACCATTCAAATTTGGCCCTTTTCCACGTTCCCCAGTTTGCACACCCCGGATCTAGATCATTGCTTGTCAAACTTTCTCAAAATTGTACAATCTTTAACCCTTTCCATGCGATTTTTGTTTTTATTAAACAATCGTATTTGCTACGCCGATTTTATGCATTTGTACCCCCACAACTAATCGATCGACTAACAAAAAACTAATGATCCTCTGCTGCCCACTGACGGCTCGTTGGAAAGCTTATTTAAAGAGCTTGCAATTGGCGATTAAAAAAAAAGTTTTTTCGAAAGTGGTGGTCTGAGTCACAAACCGGATAGAAAAAAGACCTTTTTTTTCTTGAGAGTTGAAACTTCAAACCTTGATAAAAATAGAAATATTCGCTAAATCCTTTACTGTTACCGCTTCGTGGTTGGCAAACAATAGCATAATATTGCTGTAGCAATTTCGTGATCTAACTCAAAATACTTTGGTAGATGGAAAGGATAATATGTCTGCTATTACCACCCAAAAAACACTCCCTCGTTCCACCGCAAATAAAATTCCTGTCTTAAAGGAAAGCGAGATTTTCGCTTATGTTAATCTCGAAGAAGACTTCTTATCAATCAACTAAAACCCGGAAAAACTTGCTAAATAAAACAGTGGAGTACATCAACGTACCCGCCGCAATCTAGCGAGTTTTGTCATTGGTACGTATACGTGCCCACCGCACGAATAGGTTAATAACCTCCACTCATACTGTACAGTACTCTGGTACACCAGTACACTCCAGACTGGATTCCATGGCAAATGCATGCCTGAGGGCGCCAGCACTTCACAAAAATGCTCGCGAGCGCATTCAATTCAAATTTGAAAATTTGCAATTGCTCCCCAATAAAAATCGGTTATAATGGTTTTCACATCAATAACAAGTAATATAAATATGCTTACAATTTTTTGCTCCACAATTTTGGCTAAAACTAGCTTGCAAGATTTGGTCTGATCAAAAAATGCAAAGCTAAAAGGACCTCATTTCAAAATTGCTTGGCAGACTCCATGCAGATGCTGGTCAGTTACGGCTCTGATTCAGCCTTTTTTTTCAGCCAATAATTTTATGTAAAAACACTTCCAGGATTAATGACAAAGTATAAAAATAATGTTTGGGGTCAAAGGTCAAATGACCATTATGCCCTGATTCAACGTACGGATGCACTGATCAGTACTGGTATCTAAAGTCAAACAAACACTCTCTAACTAAATGACAAAGTATAGAAAACAGTTTGGGTATCAAAGGTCAAACGTCATCTTTGCGTCGATTTAACAAATTTTCATCCAATAATTTTACACGAATGTCAGGATGTACTGAACAGTATCTGAAGTCAAAGTCAGTTGCACACCGTGATCTATAATTGCACGCTGGGAATTCTGATTTGCACGTGGGACTTCCTGATAGCACGCCCGATTTCTCTTTTAAAAAGGCAATGAAATCCAGACTGGAGTACACTCAACTCATCTCGCACTAAAAACTAATACCTGAATACGGTGTTGAGTGAGATGATTGCTGGACTTGTCGTCATTTTGTAATTACAGCATTACAGTGTGGTTCGGGTACCGTAAAAGCGCCTAACTTCGGACAAAATTACCATATTTTCATCAATAAGTCAAACAATTTATTGTACAAATTGCGCCAAAATTGCTCGCTGAAACATTGATGCGATATGTTACATTCCCTGCAAATTTCGTGCCCATCGGAATATTTTTACTATTGAAATAATCGATTTTTTTTGCCATCTGACCATTTTCTTCCACTGCCCTAACTTCGGACAGTCATTTTTCTCATTGCGTAACTGCGACACACAGAGAGAAAGAGGCTTCCCATGCGGATGACGCAATCACGTCGTTGCGTGAGATAAGACACTCGATCGGCGTCGTAACGTAACATCTTAACATGCATTATTTGAAATTTCCATCGTCCTATGTTTACCTTGTTGCATTTATTTGGTATTTTAGTTACGTCAGAATAATAACACGTTGGCCTTTATAATTAGGAATTAACATACGCAAATTAATCTAATGCCAACCGTTTCGATTTACAATGAAACATTTTAACCGACTTGTAAGCCTTTGAAATATTAATACTCACGACAGATAGCTTTGTTGATGTTACGCTGTTATCTTTATAAGTAATTAATTTTTCATCAAACTTAACGCGAACCCAATTGTAACGTTTAATCTTCAATTTAATTTCACTAATTAACATTGAGATGGGTGCCGTGATTTTGTTTCGGAATAAAATGAATTCTCCACACGAGTATATCTAATAACTATCGATTTTGACTTCAAAGCGTAAAATAGTTGTTTTCGTCAGTATACAGAGCCACATGGACGTTGCATTTCTCTAGTTTTATATTTTCGAATCTTGACAACATTGGTTACGCAAGAAACGTATTCACGTTGAAGTGATTTTGGCATATGTTCACACATGGACCGAACAAAATACAGAAATAGTACACTGGAATGCGTCTTTACCTTACACGAAAATTGCCGTTGTGTCGGGTATCAAAATTCGTTTCCACGACGTCGTGTCGGAAGGGAGCGAAAATGATCTACGTGAGGTTGACGTAACTTTTAACGCAGCGTGAAATCTCAATAATTTTACGAAATTCACAATTTTTACGTTTTATTTAAATCGCGTATGACATCTTGCGATCACTCTGATAAATTGCACAAATGCACAATTTAGGTATCGTACCTGTACCTGTTTTGCTTCTTTCAAATCAGTACCGGTACGTCTGAACGTACAAACCTGGGTCCTGACAGAACCCAGACATATATATTTCCATTATTTCAATATAGTTATTGCGGTAAAACCAAGGGAGAAAATGTTGGTAACTGTATATACGGTACCGTACTCGTAAATGACATGCCGATCAATGTACCGTACGAGTTTATATCCCTAAAAGTTTGGGGGTAGAATGAATTGGAATGACCTTCTTCGCGGATGTCTTTAAGTTGTCATTCATATTTAGGACAACAATTGAGCACAGATGAACAACAGGTTTATTACTAATCATTACCACAAATGAAATATTAAAAGGCTGCAAATCCTATACCGGTAATTCTCGCTGATGAAACGCTTTACAACAGAGTAGACAGCGGGCCCACGGCCCACCAATACCAGGTAGCGATTATAACTTGTACGTGCAGCTGAAAAGCACCGAGTCTCGTTTTACTCTTCAACAATCGAATCCCACGCGAATTAAATGTTCCCATGAAACAATATCACCTAAGATTAACAATGTTAATAAATGTTCGGAAACAATGACAAAAGTCAGCGCAGCCTGTAAGAATTGTTAACTGACAAAATTTAAGAGTTTGTTGAATTAAGTAGAAAGCGAAAACGTGTATTGAAATTAAAAAAACTAAACTAATAGTAATAGGGAACACGGGGTATTAGGGCGTGGCTTCGCGTGATATGGGCGTTTATTTCACATTTAATTCATTGTCATTTAATTCACAATATATATAATACCGTGTTTTCCCGAAAATAAGACCTAGCCTGAATTTTAAAAATGATTTTAATATAAGTCCTCCCCTAATTTTTTTTACATAATCGATGGCAAGAAATCTCTCCTACACATTTTAATTGATTTACTTTTTTACTAATTCACTTTCTATATTCTTCGGTGACCGTACATTTGAACCCATGTACATTTGAACCCATGCGTATATCCACGGGTTCAATCTATATGCAGGTGCTAAAACCCATGGGTTAGGGTTAGTATGGGGTTAACTATCCGTGAAACAAAAAAAATTCCATAGGTGCAATAGCATACAGGTGCAATTGTCATGGGTTCAAATGTACGTGGGTTCAAATGTAATGGAACCATATTCTTCACCAGAGAATGGACCTTTCCCCGACCTTTAACCCCCGAGCAAAATTTTCGGGGCTATTTTAAGAGTGCTTTTGCGAGTTGGCGCCTGTGAAATGGGTATGTGTTTCAAACCATCATTATGATTCATCGCATACAACAATCTGTTTTTTAAATGTACTGGTAAAGAATTTTAGCCTAATCTATCACAGCTATTTCTACACTAATTTATATGACTGCAATTAAATTAAAACTCCTAGGAAGACAGGGTGACCATTGAATTATCCGATTTATATTTAAATTTCCAAAACACAACTGAAAACTAACGAAAAGAGTTCAAAAATGCGAAAACGGGGTAATGTTTACGTCCACGCTTGAAAATCTATCTGAGTGTAAAATTGTCTGAGCGGATGCCAAAAGGGAGCATTGTTACGTCACTTTTTGCATCTTGCTGATTGGCCAAGGTCACGAAGTAAACAAGGAAATCGATGCTCGGGGAAAGGTCCATAGATTACACATGATGTGTATATTATTTTTTTTTTGATACGTCCATTTTGTTATAAAAATGTAAATTGTTTTAACGGCTCGTTATATCGTGCATTTTCTCCACTATCAAGTCCATGCATCTGAAACAAATAACTTGCTAACTAATCCCATACTCGACATAAACTGGTAGCTAGATAAGAGGCAGTGGTTCATTCATATGTTTAATAACGGAATAAACATGTAAAGCTTAACTATAAGTGTATGAGAGAGAAATTTTATTTTTAAGTAGATGTATATCGAGATCACATGACCTAAAATATCTATGACAGTCCCTTTTTATATACTGAGAGTGTAACATAACAAAACCTGTGTCTATTTATTTGTTTGTATTGGGCCAAAATTAGGAACGGAAGAATATTTACGGGCCAGGACAAGGGAGCGCCCGCAAGGTACGTATTTTTCCAAGGATACCTGTATAATTGAATTGATGCGAATATACACGTTCTTAACTGTGATAATGACGTAACATTTGGACGTGTCTAGAAAGTAATGCGGTAAAGAAATAAAGTGTTAAACACGCGGCAGTGCGGCCCATGCACCTCTGATTACTCCGCGTAGGTTGGCAGGTTCAAATCCCACATGGGGATGCGGATGGTTTATATGCGAGAGGATTGCTGGACTCGCTCGCTGCCTCGTAGGGTGGTTCATGTAACCGCTGGTCGGTTACGGCTTCCTCTACCATTACATCTATGCTCCCGAAATCAAATACCTAACTAATCCGACATTGGAATTGGTAACTAGACAAGAAGAGAGGCCGTGGTTTGCCATATGGCTTCCTCTCCCGCGAGATAAATATGTGAATCCCATATTTCACTTGAGTTCGGCGGGCCATATCAAATCGTTAAGCGGGCCATAATTGGCCCGCTGTTTGGCAACCACTGCCGTAAATAGTCGTATCGTTACCACCCAATCATCTACCGAAAACCTTTGATTCTCTTAATTTATTCTTGTTTATATTAATTAGTATGTTTTCTGATTTAACGAAAAATAAATTCTCTCTCTCTAAATTGAATATGTGAATTTATTTATTTTTTCATGGTCAAAACTGTCCAATCTACGTTTTATCACACACGTTCTGATTGAGTGTATATATAATTTCAATTCTATCTGTGTAATAAACAGTGTCCCAGACCCAGTAACAGATTGAGTCAACATTGTAACCAACTGCTGCTGCAGAAAACATACACAAAAAAATTTCCATTGTAAAAATACAAGCAATATTTTGGCACTTATCAAAGCAGTCAAACATGAACTATCGTAACATCACAATAGATATTAGGAAATCCAAATAAACAAAACTCAGGACTATGCAAAAACACAAGGTAAATAAACAGACCGTAGTATACAAGAAAAAAACTCGATGTGTTCTATCAGCATATTTAAAAGTATGCAACTTATATGCTACGCCTGTTCAGCAGTTGTTGAAGTAACCTGCTTATTCCCAGTACATACACATGTTGCTTGACCATGGAAAGTCTTTGTAATGAATTATTTTTATTATATTCTCTGAAGTTTACTGCAGATGAATTTCAATTGTCTATTTTGCATAAATGTTTTAACACACTTCTCATTTATACGGTTTTTCTTCAGTGTGCAATCCCTCATTGTCTCTAACTAACGACCTTTTCAGCAAATGGCTTTACTTCAGTATGAGTTCTTGCATGTCTTTTCAAGTTAGACTTGTGAGAAAAACCTTTTCCACATTGTTCACAACAATATGGCTTTTCTCCAGTATGGGTTAGCATATGGCCACTAAAGTCAGGATTTCCAGAAAAACGCTTTCCGCATTGTTTACAAGCGTATGGCTTTTCTCCAGTATGCGTTCGCATATGGCCTTCCAAGAAAGATTTTTGGGAAAAACACATTCCACAGTGTTTACAAGTGTATGGCTTTTCTCCCGTATGGATTCGAATATGTCTTTTCAAATGACCATTTACAGCAAAACACTTTTCACAGTGTTTACAAGTGTATGGCTTTTCTCCTGTATGGATTCGTATATGCTGTTTCAATCTGAATTTTAGAGAAAAACGTTTTCCACAGTGCTCACAAATATGTAGCTTTTCTTTAGTATGAAATCGAACATGCAGTTCTAATTCAGAATAGTTTGAAAAACAATTTCCACATTGCTCACAAACATAAAATTTCTCTTCATTGTTCATTTGTCAATGAACGTGCATCTAAATTGGAATCCAAAATAGGAATGAGAATGAATCGTAATGAATATGCAACTGAACTTTTTCCACAGCGATTAAAGATATGTGTCTCTTCTCCGGGATGAGTTTGAATGTACCACTTGTAATCACTGAATGAAGTAACGTATTTCTCACAAATGACTCTGAGTGAATTCGAATATGGGTTTGTAAGAACGCTCAGTGAATTTTTTTCCTGTTAGAAATGGATTGAAGTTCTAAAATATGAGAAGTGTGTTAATTGGCAAAAATATTAGTTTGTGGTGAATTAATCAAACTACTATCAATTGTGCAAGTCAAAAAAATTGCAAATTACAATTAGGATTGACGGTGTATATAAGAAAAACAACTAGGGCCTATATAGCGAATCATAAAGCACAAATGCGCTCAAAGATCAATGTATCCTCCAATGCACCACCCGTCCGGCTCAGATTTGTTATCGCGATCAAGAAAATGTAGCCTACTTATTCTATGTATAATCCAATGATAACCAACCCTTATTTAATATTAATAACATATTCGTCCATGCATGCACCGTAGGTACCGGTACTTTGGTTCTGGTGGAAATTCAGACTTTCCAGTTTCCAATATTTCGTTATCGTTATTCCAATGAAAAAATCAAGCGGGCAAAAGTTGGGGTCTGGTACCGGTATAGTTTAGTACCACATCCACTTCTAGTTGGCCTGGCTCAACAATTTTTGCATCTGTCATTTCTAACCCCCAACTGACTGCGTCACCGAAAAATTACGTCAATGCAACGTCACAGTGGCGTGCCGTAGAAGCGCCTAACTTCGGACAGTTCCTGACACCGGACAAAAATTTCGGGTCTAGTATTCCAGTGGACGTAGCATAACGATTTTTGCATATGTTATTCCTACCCCTCACCTGACTATGCCATCCAAAAATTACGTCACCATCACGTCATAGGGATTGCCAAAGTACGGTATAATTACGATCGCCCGAAATGGCATCTGCGCCGCCGATAGGAACTTGCTAAAGCCGGCGATCTCTCTCCTATCGTGATCGTTGCGACGAGAAAACGAGAGAAATAGCTTGCTCGATTTCGGGTTATCGTCTGCGCGTTTTGGACGACCATCTGCATACTTCGGTGGCCTTATTACGCCACTGTGACGTCGGAATGACGTATTTTTTCGGTGACGTAGTCAGGGGGGGGTTAAGATTGACATATGCAGAAATTATTGAGCCAGGCCAACTAGAAGTGGATGTGGTACTAAACTATACCAGACCCAAAATTTCGAACTGTCATATCTTGGGTAAAAAGCGCCGTATACTGACAGTTTCAATTAATATATTTAGCGCTGTTAAGTGTTCATCTATTTTTCACTTTTTGAATTTTTCATAAAATAATTTTCAGTGAGAAAACGGCGATTTTTACAAAAAACGACTGGCCGCTTTTCCGATACACATAGACAAAATACCATCACCCGGTAGAGAGCGTAAACAGTGTACATAATCCATTGAACTGATCACGAGATGTCGTATGAGATTCGTGTAAAAGATAAATTCTGAATTTTAAATTCCATAAAAATTTTGGGATTTCGTGCCTGCGTCAAAAGTTACGTCGGCGTCACGTTAGTCGTTTTCGCTCACGTCGAATTAGACGTCATGTTGCGTCATTGACGTGAAGTTGACGCCAGACATGTAGGCACCGATTACGCTCGTCAAATTTCGCGGATTCAAAAGTGGCGAACCGCTTAGATAAGATATACTTAATGTCAAAGTCAATGATAAAATTACAAAAATTCAATCTTGAAAAGTACGTACATAAAGTCCATCTTTAACGTCCTTTTTTCGATTCCATATCACGGGAATGTCCAATTGAAGGATACGTTTACGCATGACCATATAGATGCTATGAAATGACGGAATTGTGCCGTACTGTGCTCAGCAGGAGATCCAAGCGTTTACTGACAAGCTTCAAAATGAAAAAAAGGAGGTAAGTTTCTTGGTATCTTTTTTGGTCATTTAAATCTGTCTCTGTAGCTACATGATATCACGATTTACTACAACTTCCAACGACTTTGAAAATATGGAATTGAACTACAGCATCTCCATTTTACGTCAACGAGTGTTTTTTATTCCTTATTTTTGTAGGAAGAGCGCTGTTGTTATACACATATACGTTTCACATTTAAATTGATTTAAAAAGTATTGCCCGATGATTTTTAATCGTGTTTTTGTTTTATTGTGGTATTTTAACAGTTTTTGGTGGACGGGCACGTACTTGTACGTTTTTAACTTTTTTATTAAGTTATGCCCGTCCTCCAGGTCCTCTGCATTTTGTTCGTCCGTTTTTTTTTCAGATGGACCGAAATAAAATTGATTTATTGATTGCAAAACGCGATTACAACTTTAATTCGGAGGACTTGAGAAGAGCTATGGATGACGTCGTGAGGCGGATGTCATATGCAAAACTGCACAGGGTTAAGAAGTCAACTCTTTATGACAAAATGAAGAACCTTAATTTAAAAACAAATTAGTCATCCCCCAGAACTGACTGAAGAGGAGGAGTGCCGATTTGCTTCATGTCTGGAAATAGTAGCTCGTTGCCCCCTCGTTGTTCCGGTCGGTCCAGACGACATGAGAAATATCGTCAAAACTTATTTGGACAGAAAAGGGGTAAAGTCTTAATTCTCAGAGAACAAACCTGGCATTAAGTGGCTGAATAACTTTTGCAAAAGACCGCGGTTGACGAAACGTCTAGCTTCTAACATAAAACGGACGAGAGCTGCAGTCGGACGCGAATAAATTGAATCATATTTTGCAGAGCTGAAGCACATACTATGCAAAGTTCCGCAAGTAAATATCTTCAACTATGACGAGACTAACCTCCAAGACGACCCAGGGAAAAAGAGGTCGATTGTCCCGCTTGGAACAAATAGGGTCGAGAGAATACAGGAGCATTCAAAAACATCCATATCCCTAATGTTCTGCGGATCAGCAGATGGATTTCTGCTTCCTCCAATGGTTGCGTACGCTGCAATGAACGTCTATACTTATTACTTACTGAACGTCTGATGGTCCACCGGGCACTATATACGACGTCATACTCAGTGGTTGGTTTGATAGTAGAACATACATAAGGTGGTTCAAAGAACAGTTTGTGCCCCATTGCCAGCAACTCGAATGAAAAAAAGTTCTTGTGGGAGATAACCTATCTTCCCACCTAATTATGGACGTAATCGGAATGGCCGATCGCCACAATATTTATTTCACCTGCTTACCGCCGAACAGTACCAACATCTTGCAAACGCTGGATTGTTCGTTTTTTTCTCCATTGAAGTCGTGGAGGAAAATTTTGTCTCAATGGCGAACGGAAACTAGAACAATAGGATTCCCAAAGAAGCATTTTCCTCTACTCCTAAAAACTTTATATTTAGACACAGAGAAAACTGCGGCAAAAAATCTCATTTCGAATTTGCGGTCTCCACCCATTCAACCCTGAGATTGTTTTGAAGAACTTGCCACAAAACCAAACTGATTACATTTCCGTACCGCTATCAGATAAAGAAGGAAGTGAACCCGACGCTACCACATCGTGCTTCATTAAATATTTAAATCAAATGCACAAAGAGACTACAAGTCCAGTGCGTCGCCGAAGAAGCCTAAAGACTACGCCGGGCGGAATTTATGTCTACGCGACCAAAGAAATACAAGAGAGCTCGAATATATGGACACGTCACAAGGTGTCGCTATTTTTCATCCCGACACATAAAAAACGAATCTCTTGAAGTCCACAGAAATTTTTGAAATAAGTAAAAGTAATAGCCTTCTAGCAAATAAGTCAGTCTTTAACCACTGAAAATTTCAAAGCAATTGGTCCAGTATTCGAAGAGAAAAGCGATTTCATCATGACGAAAGAGAAGAATAATAACAACAACAAGAGAGCTATGCTCAAATATATGGACACGTAGCGCCACCTAATGGCAATAATTTTGATGACGTCATAGCAAAAAGCAAAAAAAAAATAATAGCCTTCTGAAACGGCAATGTTTCACCAATCCAACCTAACGCAGGCTCTAATCGCTGCTTCTGTCAGCGCTATGCCTGTAAGAATAATATGTATCAAAGAAGAAAAGCGTATAGGTATATGAGAATCATAACAGTTGCAAACTGCTTAGATGGGCTATTTATATTGAAATACTTTGACACTCTCCTGCACTTGAAACTACACATCAACCTGATGTTCATTAAGTTTTTTTTCTCAACTATGAAGATTTTCGAGGTTAACGAGGCATTAATAAATAAAGCTGAGGAATTTGTTTGTTTACTGTATGGGGGGAATATGAAAAATGTAAATGATACCAGGGCACTTCTTTTTAAAATTGGCAGGGCAGGACTTCAGTCAATTATTCCCCCACCTATTGGCCATGGATGGGTTCTCAATGATGGTGTTTTGCGGGTTAAATTGATGGAAATACTTTCAGTCCCCGAATCAGTTCTTGAGTTGGCAAACTGCAAGTGTATTAACTGATTTATTTGTGTTTTTGTGCTAACGATGTTAATTTGTGAGTCCATTGCTTGAAAATAAATACGTTTGATAGCTTCTATAAGATGAATGCAACCTCGTATGCTGTTCTTTGTGGTAAAATGCTTGTCTGAGGAAGTCTGATTTTGGTCAGACAACCGTCCTATCAAAGAAAAGGTGATTGATGTAACATGTGTTATGTGGTTATGACTGACGCTCTCTGACTGACTGACTACCTTTGTTGACGAATCTTAATGGCTAAATGAACTCTTGTTTTGATGTCATAAAACCTCAAAACGAGATTCAGATATTTTAAGAGCACGGTGGATTAATAGTTAAATTATGACATCACACATAAGTCGCGTCCCACGAGGCTTCTTCCGCCATTGTCGTTTAGGCTTTGCTTCATAGTTTCAGATTTTCTGCATCGGGCATCGCTTTTCTCATTCAGAATTTTGACTAAAGGTTGCAAGTCATTGGCGGGCCGCACATATTTTTAGAAAGGTAAAAATCGAATGAATTTCCGATGAATCACATCTTATCACACAGATCAAAAGTGAAATTTTAAGCAGCGCACGAAGACTGACCATTTGAATATTTTTTGCGCCATTAAACCATTACTTTTCTGCGTTTTGTTGCCATTTGTTTAAATGATAATTAAATTATAAGCTCATTACACGATAATTGAGAATTATATACTTGTTATGTTATAATATAATTTAGTCTACACGTAAATTCTTTTGCGTAAAAAATATAATCGACAAAACAGCTATAATTTGTTACTATAATTCAGTGAAGCAATGAGTGTATATATGCTCATTAAGTGAAGCGTGGCGGGCCGGATTATATTGCTCCGCGGGCCGTCGGTTGCCGACCCCTGCAGTATAAACTAGTATGTAGCTTATTCATTTGCGTTGGTATTGAATTTCGTCAATCAATCAATGTTTATTCACATTGGAATAAAACTGAATAGATTGATGTCCACCACACCTGGTACAAACTAGTCCCTGGAGGGCTGTGCTTGGAGTCACCACAGAGCCATCTGCTTTATACTTTCAGGAAGCACACCACTGCAAGTTTATAGTTAAAATAATTGAAGAATAAATACAGTAATATTTTGATGACGTGAATCGTTTTAGTGATTTGCTGATATATTTATAAAATTAGGCTCTTGATTCACAAGAAAAATCGGTATTTTATAGTAATGAAACGATCGATATGATATATGGTATTTTTTTTTCAATTGAACTGTACATCAGAAAATTCAGTCACAGGCGGGACAGTGGTTTAGCCTACAGTCACTCATGAATGCAAAGATAAGGAATAAAGTCGATTACACATTCGGATGTAACAATAGCAAAATATTATTGGCGCTCATAACACTCACTCAATTGCATTTACTAATACCGCTACCGGCCGACCAGCTGGAAGTTTGGGTACGGTACCACATGAATGTAATAACGAGCAATTTTGGCGCCGTTTGGACATTAAATGGTCAAGTTATTGTTGAGAATGGGCCCATTTTGTTCGAAGTTAAGCATTTTTCCGGTACCTGCCGACTAGCACACATTTCACTTCCCAACTTTCAAATCCTAGTCACTAGTTCTAGACTATAGCGTTAGTTTGATTGCTCGTAAAATGCTTCGTGAAACTGGATGGACTAACCTAGCGGATCCCAACTAGTCTCACTTACACGAAAAAAGACACTACGTAACAAAAAGTAAACTACATAAAATGATTTATTGATACATATGTGCAACATACATGAACATATACATTTAAATTGTGAAACAATAAAATAATTATATTAAATACAATGTATGAAATATCCAATCATATATTAGTTATGTTCAACACAATTCTGTTAATTCCGGGCGCAATTAGCAAATCTTTACCCCCTTTGCGAACCGCCAGACTAATTCATTTATTATTAGCTGTCAGTACATTTCATTGAC